GTATGTGTATATATATATATATATATATATATATATATATATACACACGCACATGGAGGAAAAATGATTTGAGACTAGCTTCAACAGTGGAATATACCTGCTTCTGGCAGCTAGTTTAAAGTGTCAACAAAGAAGATGGTTAAATATCATTGTTAACTACTGGTCTTTAACATTGCCGGAGGAATATTCTTTTTCTTGTGTGCTCTCTCTCCTTCTCTTTCTCATTTAAATATAATAGTCTTTTCAGGAATTTACTGAGTTATAATAATTTTTAAAAATAACAAGGTCATCTATATATTCTTTGACATAGTTCTTCATTGTGGTGGTCACTGAGGACTTCGCCTCACTGCAGTATTTCAGCAATCAATAAATGGAATCTGTTGTAACGCTTGCTTGTGCCAGTTGCCCAACTCATTTTTGTGTGTGGTTGGGGCTGTGTTAGAGATCAGTTTGTACAATGTCATGTAGATAGTGTAGTTTGAGTTCTCATGTATTTCATTATCCAAGTTTGGTGATTCATAGATGTTGGGTAACTATAGTTTGTCTGCAGGTAAGGCTTTACCATCCCTTACGGTGACTGGTGGAAAGGGAGTTTATAATGTATGGCCATGGAGTACACCTGTCTGGGACAGGTTTCAGAGTGGTAGCCGTGTTAGTCTGTATCAGCAAAAAGAACGAGGAGTACTTGTGGCACCTTAGAGACTAACAAATTTATTTGGGCATAAGCTTTCATGGGCTAAAACCCACTTCATCAGATGCATGGGGTGGAAAATACAGTAGGAAGATAGATAGATAGATACATACATACATACACACACACTCGCACACACAGAGAGAACATGAAAAGATGGGGGTTGCCATACCAACTCTAACGAGACAAATCAATTAAGGTGAGCTATTATCAGCAGGAGAAAAAAAACTTTTGTAGTGATAATCAGGATGGCCCATTTCAAATAGTTGACAAGAAGGTGTGAGTAACAGTAGAGGGAAAAATTAGCATAGGAAAATAGTTTTTAGTTTGTGTAATGAGCCGTCCACTCCGTCTTTATTCAAGCCTAATTTAATGGTGTCCAGTTTGCAAATTAATTCCAGTTCTGCAGTTTCTCATTGGAGTCTGTTTTTGAAGTTTTTTTGTTGAAGAATTGCAACTTTAGGTCTGTATGTCAATTTGCAAACTGGACACCATTAAATTAGGCTTGAATAAAGACTGAGAGTGGATGGGTCGTTACACAAATTAAAAACTATTTCCCAATGCTATTTCCCCCCCTACTGTTACTCACACCTTCTTGCAGAGGTGAAAGTAAGCTGGTACGCCCCGGTACGGAGTAGCGGCAAGAGCCAGTGCACCGTACCTGGGCAGCCCGGCTTCCCCAGGCGGCAATTTAAAGGGCCTGGGGTCCCAGCAGCGGCTGGAGCCTCAGGTCCTTTAAATTGCCGCCAGAGCCCCGCTGCTGGAGCCCAGGGGTAGTGGTAGCCGGGCTCCGGGGGTTATTTAATGGTAGAAGCAGGGGGGTCCTGGGCCCTTTAAATAGCCCCCAGAGCCTTGGAGTAGTGGTGGGGCTCCGGGGCTATTTAAAGGGCTTGGGGCTCCCGCTGCCTCTATGGCCTCGGCCCTTTAAACTGCTGCCGGAGCCCCAGGCTGCCACTGCAACCCCAGGGCTCCAGCAGGCTCCAGCGGCTATTTAAAGGGCCCAGGGCGGTAGAGGCAGGGGAGTCCCGGGCCCTTTAAATAGCCCCCAGAGCCCTGCTGCCGGAGCCCTGGGGTAGCAGCGGCAGCCATGGTCTCCGGCAGTGGTTTAAAGGGCTGGGGCCTTAGCAGCGGCCGAGCCCTGGGCCCTTTAAACTGCTGCTGGAGCCCCCAGCTGCCGCTGCTACCCCAGCGGGGGAGGGGGAGGGCACTTACCGGTACAAGGCAGGCTTGGGCTGGCTCTGATCCCTCCATCCCTGCCCCTTCTGCCTGAGGCCCCGCCCCTTCTGAGAGCCAGAGCTGGCCCCAACCCAGCCCCGTACCGGTAAGTCCCTATTTCTACTTTCACCCAGGGCCGGCTCCAGGGTTTTGGCCGCCCCAAGCAGCCAAACAAACAAACAAACAAAAAACAACAACAACAACAACAAAAAGCCGTGATCACGATCTGCGGCAGCAATTCGGGGGAAGGTCCTTCGCTCTGAGCAGGAGTGAGGGACTGTCCGCCGAATTGCCGCACGTGCCGCCTCTCTCCGGAGGGGCCGCCCCAAGCACCTGCTTGGTAAGCTGGTGCCTGGAGCCGGCCCTGCTTTCACCCCTGCCTTCTTGTCAACTGTTTGAAATGGGCCATCCTGATTATCACTATAAAAGTTTTTTTTCTCCTGCTGATTATAGCCCACCTTAATTGATTTGTCTCGTTAGAGTTGGTATGGCAACCCCCATCTTTTCATGTTTTGTGTGTGTGTGTAATATTCCTACTGTATTTTACACTCCATGCATCTGATGAAGTGGGGTTTAGCCCACGAAAGCTTATGCCCAAATAAATTTGTTAGTCTCTAAGGTGCCACAAGTACTCCTCGTTCTGTCTGGGACAGTTTAGTTTAGAAAGACGCCACTATACCCACTGTTGATTGATTGTTTTTGTTAGAATATGTTGAAATCAAGTTTTATCACAAGCTTTGTCATAGTCCCTTACAATAATTCATTATAATTCCATGAAGTCTACAGCTAGCTAAGAATTAATCCTTGTTTAATGGGAACTCATTCATTGTGTTTTGCATAAAAGTGTTGCTTTGGAGGAAAGTTAGAATAACTTCTATTTAGCGATTACTTCAACTGCACAATCAGAAGTGCCTTTATGACATCAGTGAGAACTGCTTAGTGTTCATTTCTTCTGAAAATCAATCCCCTTGTTTAGGTCCCTACACCAGCCTGAGATTAGATGCTTAAAAAAAAACAAAAAAACCCACCGTGGCCATTGAGTCTAATGTAAAGCAAAGGAAGCTAACTGACACTGCTAAAAAGTGTGTGATGTTAATCTCTTGGGAGTAGGAAAGTCTTTTTTTTTTTTTACTTCACAACTTCCAGTAGTGTTTCTTTGCTCTAGTAGCTTAAACTGATTTTAAAATATTCTTCTGGAAAATTTTGCGAACTACAATTTTGTAAATCATTATATTTTTTCTCTTTGAAAAGAGGCTGCCTTTTGCCCCCAGAGCACTTCATTGTGATAGTTTTTTATTACTGTTCTGTGTTTTAAATGTTCTTCTCTAAATATTACCTCTACTGTTACAATGTGTTAGTCTAGTATGCCATAAAGATGTGATGCATGTGAGAGCTGGTAAGAGACTGGTCTTTATTTCCTGGTCTCACTGACTTGACATGGGACAAGGTTACAAATAGCACAGATGTCAGGGTCACTACTCACCAGTCCCAGTGGCTACTGGTGCACACTGGTGGTATCGCTAGGCTCAGGTAAGGAGCGATCTGTCATTACTTAAAGGGAATCAGAAATATTCTTGCTTAGTGCAAATATATAACGTGACATGGTATATAATGTGACCTCTTATGATACCTATATTTACTTGTACCGATAAAGTCAATGTGAAGATAAAGATAGGACTGCATTTTGATTGACAAGAAGAGAAACTGTTTTTTACTTCTTTATCTGGGTCACAAACAGTGGCATCCCAAACAACAGCATTACCTCAAATAGGCCATGCCAGGCAATCTGCCATTGCATTTTGTGTCACATACCTACTATGTTATGTCACAAAAGTAAATGCTTACTTCCTTTCAGTGACACTGAGCTTTTTGGGAGGGGGAGGGGAGAAGGAAGTAGGCATGTGTTTAAAAAGGGAAACAAAGATGCTTTGTGTGGGGCAATTATAGACCAGTCAACCTAACTTTGATACCTGGAAAGATACTGAAACCAATTATGAAACAATCAGTTTGTAAGTACCCAGAGGGATAATAGGGTTATAAGGAATAGCCAGCATGGATTTTTCAAGAACTAATCATGCCAAACCACCTAATTTCCTTCTTTGACAGGGTTACTGGCCTAGTAGATAGGGGGAAGAAGTAGATGTTATTTATCTTGATTTTAGTATGGCTTTTGACATGCTCATAAGCAAACTAGGGAAATGTGGTCTAGATAAAATTAGTATAAGGTGCACAGCTGGTTGAAAGACTGTTCACAGAGGTAGTTATCAGTAGTTTGCTGTCAAACTGGGAGGGCATTTCTAGTGGGTTCCCACTGGGTCTGGTACTATTCAGTATTTTCATTAGTTACTTGGATAATGGAGTGGAGAGTAGGCTTCTAAAATTTGCAGATGACATCAAGCCGAGAGGGGTTGCAAGCACTTCGGAGGACAGGACTAGAATTAAAAATGACCTTGACAAATTGAAGAATTTGTATAAAATCAACAAGATGAAATTCAGTAAAGAGAAGTGCCAACTACTACAGTTGGGAAGGAAAAATTAAATGCACAACTTCAAAATGGGGAATAACTGGCTAGGTGGTAGTGCGGATTCTGGGGGTTACAGTAGGTCATAAATTGAGTCAAAACTGTGATGCAGTTGCAAAAAGACTAATATCATTCTAGGGTACATTAACAGGAGTATCATTTGTAAGACCTTGGAGGTAATTGTCCCACTCTACTTGACACTGGTGAGGCACAGCTGGAGTGCTGCGTGCTGTTCTGGGCACCACACGTCAGGAAGGATGTGGATAAATTGGAGAGAGTCCAGAGGACAGCAACAAAAATAATAAATGGGTTAGAAAGCCTGATATATGAGGAAAAGTTTTTAAAAAACGGAGACGCTTCCCCGGGGGTTCCCAGGATTGCAAAGCTCCTCATTACTACCTGCCCTTAGTGTGAGGCAGGCTTGTCTGTGCCTGCTGGGGTCAGCTTAGGGTGACCAGATGTCCCGATTTTATAGGGACAGTCCCGATTTTTGGATGTTTTTCTTATATAGTCTCCTATTACCCCCCACCCCCGTCCTGATTTTTCACATTTGTTGTCTGGTCACCCTAGGTCAGCTCCCCAACTCCAGAGGCCATGGGCAACACAGGCTCTGCTCTTTCTCTTCCGGTTAGGCGCACTCTAATCCTATAGCTCTCCGAGAGTCCCCCTGGAGTGACCAGCTGCTGGTCTACTACACACAGGATTCACAGATTTGCTGCTCCCAACAAAGCAGTCCACACCAGCTTACTAGCTTCCCTTCAGGTCACCACTCGATTTGACACACAGCACTTAAATAACGTTTATAGTGAAAACTAGTAAGAATTTACTTCACAAAGTACAGAGATTTGAGAAGTAGCAAGTAAAATATTGGAAACAAATAGTTGCATGTAAAATAAAATCATAATGTGCATTTTAAATCCTAGACTTAACTACCAAGATACTGTTCTGTCTAATTAAATTGAGCTCATCCAAAGTCTTTGCAGTATTTTCCAACCAGGTTGGCCATGACCCTCCTTTCATAAGGCAGAACACGCTGACAGTTTGTCTCCTTGGTGAAGGATCTGGAATGTACCTCAGTACTCCCAGTTATGCCCCAAACATCCATTGTCTTTACTTGTAAACAGGATACCCTCATGCTTTTTTTGTTTTTTCCTGCAGCTTTCCTCTCTTGTTGAATCTGCAATCTTCTGCTTAGCATCAGGCTCAGTATTGCAAATAGGCCTCCACTGCAAAGCAGACAATACAGAATAGACGCATGAGCAGCCAGAGAGAGAGAGAAACGTCTTTTTTTCCCTCCTACATGACAGAAGCTTGTTTATCACCTTCTGGTGACATGCTTTAACTCACATACCTTATGATGAAAATTTTCAGTACCGATACATAATTCCTTAAACATTATGCATACATATATTTCACAATTATGATGATGACCCGTGGGCTCTTGGTTCTTGGTATATACCTCACGTCACCTTCTGGTAAATTTGATATACATACATCTGCCACAGGGGATCCTGGTAAAACTCTATAAACATCCTTGTGCCCTCTGCCAGTTGGCACCAAGAGGTTTCTGGGTCACATTGGGCATGCTTACTGAAAAAGAAGATTGAAGAGGGGTCTGATGAGTCTTCAAATATGTTAAGGGCTGTTATAAAGAGGATAGACTCAGAGATCAATTGTTCTCCATGTCCACTAAAGGCAGGACAAGAAGTAATGGACATACCCTACAGCGTGGGAGACTTAGGTTAGTTACTAGGACAAACTTTCTAACTATAAGGGTAGTTACGCTCTGGAATAGGCTTCCAAGGGGATTGCGGAATCCCCCTCTCTGAAGATTTTTAAGAACAGGTTGGACAAACACCTGTGAGGGATGGTCTATGTTTATGTGGTCCTGCCTCAGCACAGGGGCCTGGACTTGATAAACGCTTGAGGTCCCTTCCAGCCCTACATTTCCACGATTTTGTGTTAACACTCATTTGTGCATTGTGCTGCAGGAATCTGGACGTGAAACACCATCTTCTACTCGGGCATCCAGCATAAATGGAACAGATGACGAGAAGGCATCTCATGGTGGCTCTGCTGATGCACATCTGAAAAGTGAGAATGACAAACTGAAAATTGCTCTAGCCCAAAGGTGAATCTCTTGTAATATCTAAATTGCATTGAATGCCTGTGCAGTAACTCTTCGGGGGTGGTTACGTATACATATCCAGGGATGGCTCAATAAGGAATCAGCTATCTGACCTAATTATTATACTTGTTAAAAGGCAAATACCAAGGTAGATACAGTAACAACTTATTTAAAAAATTGTTAGGCGATTTAAAATAAAAGTGGTAGTGGGAGCTGTGTTATTGCCTGCCTATTACCCACGTTATTGTAAATGGAAATAAAAATAATCAATGTCCTATTTTAGCATAGCACATACAGTCATGTGTTATTCCTATAGTAATAAGGGGCTGTAACAGGGTTCACTCACCACTCTGGCACCTCCTGCTGGCTGTCATGGGAATTAGGTCTGCATGTTAGTGTGCCCTCTTTGGGTGGTGCCTCACCGCCGTCACTCCTGCTCTAGGACCTACGTCTCTCCAAGGACTGTGGTGTCCTCTTCAGCGACACAGCCCTCCGGGAATCTGCAGTCTGCTGTTCAGCTGGGGGCGCAGGGTCTGGAGGCTGCCCGGCAAACCATGAAGCCGGTATCACTCGGTCTTCGGGCAGCCCCTGTGCCTCCGGACCCTGCACCCCCGGCCGGGCACTTCTCCTCCCCAGCTCCAGCTGCTCTGCTCCGGCGGCGCAGGGCCCGGAGGCACGGGGGCTGCCCGAAGCCGGTAGCACCTCCGCCAGCCGCTTTGCCCCTAAATTTCT